GCCATTTAATGATTTATGAGTAACAAACAAAATATAATCCCTCTCATTCTCACTAAAGAAATATGATCCAATTAGGTGGGGGTTTCCATTTATCTTGGCAGAGGTATCATGTTGCCTGTGTTTATTACGATAATCTTAGTTTACAAATGTGCAACATTGCTCCTTTGATTAGCTTTGTGAAATGATTTTTGTGAACTGGAAGGATCTTCTATTCTTTCTATATTTGGCAGCTTTAACTCTATAAAAAATGTCCATTTTGTCACTCCTGTTATAGTTTCTTGCAGCTGTCTTCTCTCTTCTTCTCACTGTAAGATATTAAAAATTTGGCGGGCATATTCTCCAAATGTATCTGGATGGGTGAAAATGCCAGAATAAGCTTGTCAAATTTTAAAAATGGGACAGGAGGGTCTTTAGGCTGACTGGCTCTTCAAAATATTCCAAGTGGCTCTGCCAATAGAGGATTATTAGCTGTTGATTGAGAAGGGTATATAAGAATATGCTGTAAACTGGAGCTGAAAGATCACTGGGGTGGCTCACAGGTCTATAAAACTGCTTTTTAGGATTAAAAATATCTGAAGTTCAACTTTGTTCTAATATATCCATTTTTACTTAAAATAAATTTAATACCTATATGCTAATATAAAAATAGTTTACAGACTGAGTCTCTTTAAAAAAAAAAGTTATTTTAGCGTGATGGAATTCAAAGGGGATAAAGACTTCCCTGACCTGTGAGGACACTGCATTATGGAAGACACAAACATGAGAATTTGACTTTTTTTGTGAGATTTCACAATATTCTTCAGGTAGGGATTTTAACATTTGAGCCCTCAGAAATATTTAAGGATTTTTTTAAAAGATTTATTTAAGTATGCATACAAGAACTGGGGTATAGGCCAGATGTGCAGGAGGATGAGCGGATTCACCAGAGACAGCGGGGAACAGAACAGGCAGACTGACTGAAATACACTGCTGAGGGGAGCAGCGGATGAGACAGGAGAGGTCTGCTGCACCATGTGGGTATCTCTCTGGCTGGCTGGGATTGAACCAGCACTGCAGAAGCTGTGGATAGGTTCACAGTGCTGCACTCAACCACGTGCACCACCAACGAGGCCCAATATTTAAGGATTTAACACAGTTTTTTTTTTTTTTTGAAAAGACAACCTAAGCATTTTTGCAAATCTTTATAATGAAATGTATGTGGCCTGTCATAAAATGCCCGAGAGGTATATTAATTGGTGTTATAAGCAAAGTAGCAGTATCTACAAATAACATATCAGTTATACACAGCATATTTTATAGTCAATAACATTAAACTTCTAGATGAAAATATATTTAAAGACTACTTGGATTATAAAGAAAGTTTTCACTTAAAAGAAAGTTATTTCTGTGAAACGATTGTGTCATAGATTGAAATGATTTAATATTTGCTGTTTTTTCCCTTTCAGTTATATACATATGAGTTCTACTTCTGAATTTCAATTTTTAAAGGCTTTTATAAAGTCAAGGAAAATATTTTATGAGATTCAAAATTCCACTGGGTTTTGAACAATATGGGTTAGATATCATTTTCTTTGGAATATCCTTTTAAATTGCTTTACTAAATTTCATCTTATTTTAAAGTATGGAAGAAAAAAGTCTGAAGAATGGAAATGAAAAAGTACATATGTAAAGCTAAAAAAACTTGCACAGTCAAGATATAGGATATGTAATAAAGTGTGTACAGCATTAATGTAAAATCAAAGTGATGGAATGACTGCATCCTGATTTAAAGATGAGTGAAAAAGAGTTAGTTAATGACTCTATATATGTGCCTTTAAAAGTCCAGCCTTCAGAAAATAAACTAAAAATAGCTCGCAGGGACACCTTAAAGGAATATGCCTTCAGATCTTTAAGAACGACAAAACTGATGACTGATAGCATACAATATTTTTTCTGATAAATTCAGTTCATAAAATGAACTGAACATTCAGTTCAGAATGTAAGTAAAACCTTCAAATTCTTAATTTAAAATTCTATGTGTGCCCAGAAATGTAGGAATAATATGAACATTTGGCAAAGCTAGTAACATTCCTCCATACAACCCTGTCATTTCTTTTTTGTGACACTCAGCATTCATTACAATTATTAATAGTTGTTTGAATTTTTGCTCTTCAGTAAGTGCTAAAAGAGATTTGTTTAGCTTATTATAACAATAATTTTTTCTAACATCTAGCTCAACATTTATGTTACAAAAAATTAACTATGCAGTGCATTGCAAATATCTCCCCCCTCCTCCAGGTGAATAGCTGTGTTTTATAGTTTAGGTTAAAAATTCGTCCATATTCATTGTGACACATAAACCAGAATAAACAAAGTGCAGACAGTTTCCATTTTGTGCCTTGGGGAGACTCTTACTTGCCTAGCAACAGATAATTCTAATACTTGTTTAATTTTTTTCCAAAATAATTGCATTTTTTCTGAATAATTTATAAAGATTTAGTTTTGACTGGGAATTTAGATTCCAAATGCATGCATTTTTACATAATTTGGAAAACTACAGATAGAGGTTTATAGGGTAAATAAAATCATCTGGAGGAGACCAAATTTTCAATTCTTTAAAAGTCTAATCTTCATTTTGTTGTTGTTTACTTTACCCTATGAAGCCATAGTTAGATTGTCTCAGTAATGGCACCCACAAAAATCTATTTTCCTCCCACATCTCCACTCCATAAGTGATTCCCTCCTATGTTGAGCTGAGCTTGCTTTACACATGGGACATATTAGGAAATATTATGTAAGGAGAGACTTTGAGAATGCTGTACTTTGGTGTATTTGCTCTAAATGTTCCTTGGAATGCTTGTGCCACCATTTTAAGAGTTGCCTGGAATCTTTTAGAAGATAAAAGCAAATTTAATGGAGACAAGTTATCCTAGTAAGGCAGCCTAGACTTTTTCTCCATCATCCACCAGCTGATTACAGCTTCACGAAGAATCTAGGTAAGACCAGCAGTAGAAAGTAGAAGTAATTTTTGAGTCCAATCAAAATTATTTACCCCTCAAATTGTGAGTAAATTAAATATTGCTTTTGTTTGAAGATATTAAGATTCCTGTGGTTTGTTACATAGCAAAGATTAAACTGAAAAGTTACTTTTAAGCAAATATTAAAACTGTATATACATATATATGTATATATGTGCATATATACACATGTTTATATTTTTGCATGTAATTGTAGAGAATTCTTTATACACACACACATATTTGTAATTTTTGCATGTAATGGCAGACAATTCTTTTTCTAAGAATGGCAACTCTGAACAGGGAGAAAGAAACATCTGAAATACCTTCCAAATTTCCAAGTCAAACTTATAGAATTGCTTCTAAAGAGAAATTATTCTTAACTAAAAGTGGACCTCCACTTAATGGTGAGATAATGACCACCCCCAGAATGGACAGCATAGAATCTTGATTAGGACAGCACTTTTCTCTTGATTAGGAGCGCAGGTCTACATTTTATTATTTCCTCATGTATTCTATAAAATATGGTTACATTTCCTAAAATTGACTATCTCTATATAAGGAAAATTATGTGTAACGTCCCCCCTTCTTTTTTTCCTGCTCTCAGTTAAAAAAAATAAAATATATGTCTGAACATGTAGATTTTGGAAGTTGCTTTCCAGTATATGAAGGATATTTGTGTGCAAAGTTCAAGAGAAAAAAATGTTGTACTCCATAACTTAGGTACTGGTCATAACATTTAATTAAATATAAACTGTTAACAAATGAAACAACCTAAAATTGTCCCTCCATATATTTCCTCTGCTCAGAAATATCCTACAAAAAGCAGAAGCATAGAAATTGACCAAAGAAAAACAAATGATTGAAGAAATTGTATTAAATAATGTGCTCTCCTTAAATATGTATTCATTTGTCAACACTCTGTTGATATTTCTTTGGTTCCAATGAGATCCCCAATGGAAGTGTATATAGTGAAAGAGGAAATGAGACTCTTATCCTGAGAGTGCCAATCATAACTGCACTGTCCATAATGATGTTTGCATTTGCCTTTCAGGAATGTTTTCCTAAAGACTTGCAACTGTTAACCATCAGTAGTCTAGATTCTCCTAGGGCAAATCGGAATCCATACAAGAAGTGCACTGGGAATATTACCAGAGTAAATCATTGCCATTTAAAAATAAATATTTTAAAATAATTTAAAAATATTATATAGATCTTATTAACTGGGGTATGCAGATCATTAATAATTCACAAGTTCTTTAAATGAGTGGGTATGAGTATTTTGAGTTTTTGAGACCAATATAATTTACTAATGATCTTGGACCCTTGCTCCCATCATTTCTCAGCCCCCTTGAACTTTAGTGGTACCACTGACTATTTCCGGACATTAGAGCACAAATGGAAGTGACATGGGTCATTTCCAGGTGAAAACATTCAAAGGTCAGTGCATGAACCTCCAACTTTTCTTTCTTCCTATGGTTGCCAAGGATACCACATGTCAAGATGCCAGAAAGTCAGAATGGATTCATGATTATTTGAAATGCTGGACTTAAGAATTTAATGTGGAGAGTGAGCAAATAATGAAGTTTGTTTTTTCTTTATGTCACTGAGGTTTGGGGACCAATATGCTACTGAAACACATTACACTTCTCAGCCTGAGCAATAGCGTTAACTCACACATGATTGCCAATTTTGCATTATGCTAAAGAGATTTGAAGATATAAGCAAACAAAATTTCTCACCATGAAATATTATTATATGTATGATACAATATTTAGAAATTAAAACTATAGGAAGAGCACAATAGCACAATAAAGAATAATTCCTTAAACTGAATCAATGGAGTTCTCTTTAAAATATTGCTATACTTTGCTTAATGTCATTTTGCTGGGCATAAATTTCATCATGAAATAGTGCACCTTTCTTTCAACTCATATTTAAGAACCATGGGTCTAGATATTTCAAAGCATGAAAGCATCGTATAATGACAATGTTTAACTGTACCTGTCTTTCAGTGAGATCCAGATTCACTGCTATCTCATATCTCCTCAGTCTGGTCAGGTAATTATGATGGGCAAACTCTGCTTCAAGTTCTCTTATTTGCTCTTTGGTAAAAGCTGTTCTTTCCTTCCTGGGCTTGCTATTGACTTCTGACTTGTAGTTTCCTTCTTGGGAGTCTGAAAAAACAATACCAAAAAGAATTAGATTCAGTTCATTCAAAAGCATTCAATCACATCATTCATATCAGAAACATTTACTGAGTGACTACATTTTCAGGTACTGTGCTAGACATGGAATAGAGACCAAAGATAATAAGCTTGATCTCACCTCCCTATAGTAAGACAGTTCTTATTTTTCACTCTGCCATCAGGTAAAACTCAGCCTAATTTGGGGAAGTATCCAGTTTTCTTTCAAAGTATGAAAAAAAATTAACTGCCCTTAACTATGCTATTTTAAAATTAAAGTCTCTCCAGAAAACATTTTAGATATGAAATTTTACCTAGTTAGTTGTTTAACATATATGCTAGTATGACTGAAGAGAGTAATTTAAAAAATAGTCATGCCACTACACAAATATTTGAGTGATTCAAATGCTTCACAACTGGACCAAAGAAGTCCAGTGAAGTTCAGACTTAAGCATATGTAAAAGAGTGTGAGTGTGTGTGTGTGTGTGTGTGTATTTACTGACCTTTAAATTTATATCTAGGGCCTCCCTGGTGGCACAGGGGTTAAAGTCTCAGTGCTATCAAGCTATTGCTATCGAGTTGGATCCCCAGCCCCGGAGCTAACCCACATGTGGCACAGCAGACCTCTCCTGTCTCACCCACTGCTCCCTTCAGCAGCGTATTTCAGTAGATCCTCCTGTCCTGCTCCCTACTCTGTCTGGTGAATCCTCTCACCCTCCGCATCTCTGGCCTACATCCCATATGTTATATGCATAAATAAATAAATTTGTAAAATAAAATAAATTTATATCTAAGTTCAGTCTCCTTGAGGAGAATAATAATATTCTTCCTTTATTTTGTATAGTACTGAGTTGAAGAAGAATCTATAAATAAAATTGTTTTCATATAACTCAAAATATGAACCGTATTTTTTTAATAAATCTTTAATTTTTTAAAAGATTTAGTTATTTATACAAGAACTGGGGCACAGGTCAGAGATGCGGGAGGGAGAGAATTCACCAGAGACAGAGCGGGGTGCAGAACAGGCAGACGGACCAGAGACACTGCTGATGGGAGCAGCGGGCAAGGCAGGAGAGGTCTGTCACGCCATGTGGGAATGGGAGTAGAACCTGCCCTGTAGAGGCTGCGGACAGCTTCACAGCACTTCGTTCAACCCGCTGTGCCACCGGGGAGGCCCTGAACAGTATTATAAAAGTTTTTATTATATATGAGATAAACATACTTAACATCACCTATCCACACCAAGTCATAAAATGCCACATAGAAATAGCATTCTATTTCCTGTCCAAGGGTTCAAGACATAATACTCATAAAGTATTTCATTTATCTTCATAATATCCTGAATTATAGATTAGAAAAAAAAACATTCCTTTTTAATTTTTAATCCATTTACTTATTTTCTCAAGCCATTGTTCATTTCTGTACAATATTTGATTTCTCCCCTAGTTGTAGTTCCATAATTCTCCCACCTCCACAGCACCGGTGGCCCTCACCACAGTCCCTTGTGCTCTTCTCTCCCCTTGACTCCTCTCCTTCCCCCTTCCCTGCTGTGTGCTCAGTTGAAAGGGTCTTTTTCCTGACCCTTTGCAGAACACATTCTTAATGTACTTAAGAATAGAATGTGTCTATAATGGGGAAAAAAATCCATATAAGCCAAGTAAAATGCAATCATACTAGACTTCATTAATTCATGTCAAATTTACACTTAGTGAAATAGCAACACGATCATGCTCTTTTGAAAGTTATGTCAATTTACTAATTATTTTTGAACACACAGATACACACAAATAAGTAATGCTTTTATGAAGTTGAAGTACCATGAATTCTTTTATGGCTACAAATAAGAGGAGTGATAATAGGAAAAATGATGGCTAATCAAAAGTTACAAAAAGTGACATTTTAATTTTCTTAATTGACAAATGTAATTGTCAATATTTATAAAGGCACTTATTGAGGCAATATTTGTTTATTCATCCAATGGTGCTTAAATATGCTGTGAAGTACAGAAAATATTTTTCTCTTTTTTTAGTGTTCTTTTCTTTGCTGTCTGCCTGGGGAAGTCTAACTAAAGTAAAGAGGATTCTGCATAACGGAAATTCATTAGACAAGGCTCTCTTTTGTAAATAATTTTGTTTTGACTCTTACTAAAATCTATGAAGGCCAGATGTAAAGTTTTCTAGCTCTAGTAGCAGCAGCAGCAATAGGTTTGCATCAAAATTTTGGCACACTGGACATTACTTTTCCTGTGAGTGATCACACAGTGTGTTTCACTGGCTGGTGCACACTGGCACTGTCGGAAATTCTTCATAATTCATTGACCACATTTCTGGGCTTGTTGCTTACCTCTGTATTAACTGGCTCCCTACCTTGGCAGGGATTTAGCCAGTGCATGAAGTGGTTTGTGATATATCATACACAGGCTAACTATCTCAGGTAAGTCCACACAATGCCAACTTAGCTGGCTCAAGGTGGAACCGCTATTTATTTATTTTTTTTTTTTTAGCTTCTCAAACTCCATGCCATTGGAGCATTTGTTTATTCTGATAGTGAGTGTGCAAAACTTTCTGATGATGACTTTTTTTTTTTAATTTAACATTTGCATTGGCTATTCTGGAAGACTGAAAACTCGGTCACAGCCCAAAATATTCAGATAAGTCCCTCTCGCAAAGATGCATGTTAATACACAAATCAAAAGGACTGTTGCCATTTGGAGCCATGTTCAGTCTGAAATCTGTGGCTGCTTATTTATAGGAGGACAATGCTCTTTCCCTTTCAGAAAAATGGCTCTGGAAACCTACAGCAAAGCCAGAGCATTTTTTCTCATGAGCAATTTGATTTGAATGATTCATGGTTAACACATTCCCTTATATAAGCATGAATGAACAAATTCACATTGAGGAAAGCCTATTAGCTTGCATTTATTTTTGAAACTGATTTCCTCCAACTTTTGTGGTATTCAATAGTACTTTAAAAACACCACACACACACACACACAAACATACACAACTTGGGCCCCAGTTTGAAAAAAAACAGGCACATGTAGTGGATTTATATACAAATTCATTGTAATTAGAAATTTACAACAGGAGTTTTATACATACAGTGCCTGAATTTAAAAGTCTGGCTATAATTCAACTTTGAAATCCAAAAGCAACTTACTGAAAGCCTGAATTCCAAACCAACATAGCTCACAGAGTGAAATCTAGTGAGGAAAATGATGTGTACTGTGCATACTTTCATTTACAATAATTACAAATGAAATAATTAAATTTTAATTAACATGACAAAGAGTGGGTTCTTGACATCCTCACCTAACAGAAAAGGTCAGCGTAGTTGCAGAGACAGAATTAATGTAGATTAGTTCTATAGAAACTTTTATCCTGTATTTGTAATTTTGTTGTGGTTTTTAGCCATAATGCTCCTGTTTTTTCATTCCTATTAAAAACATGTTCCTTGGAATTGCATTTCTGGATGTGGGTTTCCTATATTCTTGGAGTTTTGTAATTTTTTGACCTTTCCTCCTACATTTTCCAAAGCCTAGCATTTTTGACATTGAGTCTTCTACTATTATCACCTGACTAACGTTTCTTTGGTGGAAAAGGGTGGGAGCTTTGGACAAGTCTTTTGGCAAACTGCACATCAGCTTCCATCTGTTCCCCAGCTGTTTCAACTGAGGCAAAACTCCCTCGGTTTTCTTCAACCTCCCATATCCTATGCCAAATGGTAGGTGTTGAGGGGGGAATCTGGAAACTGCCTTCCTTTCTTCCCTACAACCACAAACAAAATGTCACCATCTGTACAGTATATTCCAATGTAACATATTACAATTGTTGTTTCTCGTCTCAGATACTTTAATGCACATGTGGGTGCACTCTCGCACTCCCTCGCTGCTTGGAGGAAATGTTGACTTATGTGTTCAGGTATAGCTGGCAGTCCCAGCTCCCTAACCTTTTGCTCCCTGGGACTATGCTAATGGAAGAAGTCTGCAATACTTCCGTGGAGGATAAAAATTGCCCTCCAAGGATCATTTCTGTCTAGCATTTAGAACTTCTCCACATGTGACTTTTTATTTCCCCTAGTGCAAGAGGGGGCCAAAAGATAATAATGTTTTATTGGAGACAAGTAATGTAAGGGCTTGGTCTGTTGACTAGTGACACAGAATGCCTTTGAGCAAAAAAAGAAATATTAAAGTATGATTGAGTATATTTTTGGCTAACCTGGGTAAATGTATTAACCTGTTTAAATGAAAAACATAATTTACTTATGTCTGTAAAATATCAAAATGTAAAAAAGGTCTCCATTAGCATAAGCTAAAATGAATACTTAATTCATATTCCGAAGAATGAATACTGAGGTAATAGTTTTAGTTCTTTGTAACTTCTTGTATTAATGTTTTGAAAGGCAGTTATTCTGTTTATTAACAAAACTGCACAAATAGTAAATATAGGAAGATAGTTGTTATACTTACTTAGACATAGGGATTGTGGATGGAGGCAGGAAATTTATTGATTAATTCTTCTAATGCTAGCAATTTTCATATTTAAAGGGCAAATTGTTTTCCTTATGGGGAATAACCCAACTTGCTACTTCAGCTTTTTAATGAGTGGGCATTTTAGCTTCTCCAGATTTTTTTTTTTTCTCAGAGTAAACAACCCTCCCGAGAGGTTCTTAAATTCTGTCATTGATCCACTCTCCAGATTTGAGAACCACAGCCAAAGGAAGTTGCTGTTACTAATGAATTTGTCTATTATACACTGTGGTGTGTATGATGGGAAAAATAGATTTGAAAACCAGTATGCTAAATCTTGAATAGAAATCAGCGCTAAAAACATCCAGTGTTTCTTATACCTTTGGTTCAAATAAAGTATTACTATGACAATTGTTTTTCTTTATCTATAAAAAGCAAACTCAAATTCCAAAAATAGAAATTTCCATTTTTTGTAAACTTTTTTAATAAGTATTTTTAAGTAAATTGTAATGGTGATAGTTGC